CTCTCTCTCTCTCTCTCTCTCTCTCTCTCTCTCTCTCTTCCCCCCCCCCTCCCCCGCCTCTCATGTGGTTTTCCACATACGTACGTACGCTAGTTACGTCGACATAATCGCGAAATAGAGCACGTACCTACCACTTACCGCAATGCGCCAGTGACACAGCGCCTATCTCTATACACACGCATTGTCTACGGCTTGGTTTCTCTTTCTCTCTCCAGGAGCGCTCCGAGGACGTACCCGAGGAGCGTACCATCAGAAAGCGGAGTAATTAAAATAACACCCACAAGGCTCGCGAGGCTCGTGATTCGATTCATGAGGTCGGCCCGGCGAGATGCGAGAGAGTCACAGACCAGACTCATTACTTTGTAGGCAAGATCGCGTAAGACAAGAGGGAATAACGATTGGAACTTTAGCGGTCATTTGGCCGGCCGCCAAGCTCTATCGTGCGCGAATTGCTTGTTTACCGCATGCTAGCGCGTGACGTAAAACGCTATTCGGCTCGTGGACCCGATCCGAGTAGCCTGGCAGACGTGGACACGTGACGAATCATGCGAAACCTCTCGCGCGAACGAGCGAGCGAGCGAGCGAGCGAGCGAGCGACCAAAGTCGAAAAAAATCGCTTTATCGCTGATAAATTTTCAAGCATCGCAGGACGAATTGCAGAAAGAGGGAAAATGAGAGAAAAGGTAGAAAAAGTGAGAGAGAGAAAAATAATTAAATACTCCTGCCCCTTGATGTTACCGCATTTCTTTCGTCTGCGTACATATTCACCGCTAGACAGGATGACGTTTTAATAGTAAAAAAAATATATTGAAAACAAAATGTTAAAAGCAGCAGTGTCGCCGTGCTGTATCCCGTGGTAAAGCGATAAACACGATTTTATATCGACGTCTTATCTCGGAAGTATCGCGAGGAAATTCACCGCCGGGTCTTATCGCGCGCCACGTGGCAAAATGCCGCAAAGACAATGCGTAAAACTAGGTAACCCGTTACTGGGATTATCGCGACAATTATTGCCGTGACGTATCACGCTACGTTCATCCGTCCTTTCTATTTTTAAAACCCGTAAACAATCGAATCTGTTTCGTTTGGCACGATTACGATTTTAATCTGTACGAAAAAATATACCTTATATATATCATATATATAATTATATATTATATATATAATTATTATTATCATATATATAATTATTATTATAAATGTTAACACCACTATGTGTACATCACCATGGTACATATTTCATTTCGTGATTATTTCATTTCGCGATTGTAGATATTATGATTGTAGATATTTTTATCTTCTGTATTGCAAACTACGAACACCGTGAACTGTAATAGCCGAGTTTCATATGAGAGTTTTGCTAGTAAAAAAAAAAAAAAAGGGGGGGGGTCAAAAACATTTACCGAAATTATTCTCGCTTCGATCAACAGGTGTTTTCGGATGCGAAGGACAACCTTCGCGGACGTTTGTTACATGGTAACGCACTGGAGAGGTTCACGAAACATTCCCGCGCAACTCGGGAGAATACAATGCTTTTACACAGGACACATGTGGTATATTAATACTCGTCGGCATTGAGAGCAAACAGCTGATTCAAGGCCGACGCCCACTGTCGTCGTACGCGTCGAACCCTTTAACCCCGCTAAACAATCGCGCTTGAATACTTTGCATCAATCACGCATCGCGAAGAAACTGCGAAAATCTTAATCATAGGATGACAGAAATCTCTTTTTATTTTGTCCGATTGTCTCATTGGACCTGACATGGTCTCGATACTTGGCAAACATTCCAAGATTAATCTCCACCATGACTAACGTCTCTCTCTCTCTCTC